TATGGTTCATGGGGTCACGAAGAGTCGGACACGACTTAATGACTGAACAACAACAACAAGAGATATAAGCCAGAGTGTATAGCAGTGAAGGTGTTGGACTAGGGCTGGAGGGATGCAGGCTCAAGTCTATTCTGAGTCGTGGAAGCTTGCTGGGTGATTTGGGGCCTGTTACCCTCTCCTCGCCCAACCTCCCTCATAAGTATGTTGCTGTGAGGAAAAACGGGCGGAAGGTGTGCTGAGTATGCTGCCTCGAGCTCCTGGAGAAACGGTGGGATGTAAATACAAGGAAAAATAAATAACATTAACTCAAGAAAGAACGGACAAACTTTTTTTCCACAAGTTAAAATAGCCACAGGATATTTTCACAGCCATACTGTATCACTAGAGCTCTCCTATATGTGGGAACCTTTCACAAGAGGGAGGGAGTGATTCTCTTGTGTGCAATTTAGGTATAAGAATATAATGGGAACTCTCATTTATAGGATAAAGTGACAAGGATCATTTTTCATAAGTTTTATGACGAATTTTAAATGCATTTTATTTAAAGCATGTTATTCAAAGCATAAATCATGTTGCATTGTGCACTCTGTAAAAGGCAATTCTTCTGAACATGCAAGAAGCCTAATTATTAGTTACTATTTTTAAAAAGTTCACATCGTAATCTTTTCAATGGGACAAATACCGAGTGTAGCTATTTTTTTTCCTGTCATTATCAGGAAATTTGCTGTCTAAACATACCATTTTCTGTTATCACATTCATTTTGTGTCCCCCCTTCCTATAATAAAGATGAACAAACAGCAAAAATATTGTCATATCTAACTTATCTTCGCATAATAGTATGCAGAGGAGAACAAACAATTCACAGTGAATAATACGTTGGACACATTAAAGCTCTTTCGCTTTTCACAGAATGTCAGTTAGCTGATCCCAAACTTATCAGAATGTATTCATTATTCCTGTTTCATGCAACTTGTTTTTGCTTGCATGTAAACTTGTTTCTTTTCTTTTTTTTAATTTATATGGGAGCTTGACATTTCCTTATCATTGATTTCTGAATAGTTGATTAGATATCAGTTATGGTGCAGCTGAGTGGTCTTGGTGTGGAACTTCTGGCAGAGAATGATGGAAGCTGCAAGTGTAATCTGGCAGCTTTCGGAAGCAATCAGCTGCATGACTTTCTTAAAGTTGCTTCATTGTATGGAAGAGATTATGCCGTTCTCCTTTATTGTTCATTAGCTGCCCATAAATTGCTGGCTTCCTTCTCACCAAGAAACTTTTCTAGAGGATACTTGGAGAAAAGAGAATTGTGGAAATGGTCTTTGGCTCCTGGAGGAAAGGCAGGAAATAAACCTAATAAATGAATATAAATAAATACCAAGATAGAAGAATAGTACAAATCTCAACAGCAATTCTCCCATGCACTGTTATCAACACTCCACAATTAAGGAGCATCCCTAATATTATAAGCTCCCCACTTTTACAAATGTATTTATTTATATCATCATATTTATATAGCTGCCCACCTCACAAAACATGACTCTGGGCAGCGTACAATAAAAAAACAAACCATACAATAAACAATAGTTAAAAACATTCCACCATTTTTTAAAAAAAATCAGTATGCTTGTTAAAAGACGAAGAGAGAGGATTCAATGTTACAGGCAATGCAGCCACCTCACTATTTCACCACTTCCTTGAGATCCCCAAGGCTGTTGAGACAACCACGCTTTGAGGGACTTCCGGAAGGATATCAGGGATGGGGCTAGTCTCACCTCAGGGGGAATGATGTTCCTCAGGGCAAATGATGGGATGTTTCTCCCATCTAATTTGGTTTCTCCCCAGTGACAGAGTACTAGAGAGGTTGAGAAACGTGCTTCTTTTCACATCTAGAAACACAGTACACGTAGGCCAACAGCCAAGCTACAAGGGATTAAGCCTTGAGCTTTCTGCCTTCCACCTCATCTATTGCAAAACTGCACATGTGCCAAATGAATAGTTTCACTGAAGTAAATCAGCCTTTAAAAAAAAAAATCAGGTTATTTTTTTTTTCCCTTGTAGTTATCCAAGTGGCAGAAATGGTGACTTCTAATGACAAGCTGTACAGAGGGATGTCTTCTTTCCTTGACAGAACATCTTCCTTTTTTGGAGAGTGAGTGATTTTTTTCCTTTCCCTGCAAAAGTTTTGGAGGGTGCAAGGGGAATTACACCAGTGGGTTTCAATTCACAGCATTCCTTCCTTCCTTGGAATAGTGAACAAAATCTGTAGAATGATACTAAGAATTCTTTTCACATTCATAGGGCAATTTTGCAAGCCTCAATAAAAGTATTTGAGGTACTAATTTGCAGCTAGCATGTATCAAAGATTATTGCCATTTTAGGAATAAGGAAAAATAAAAGAGTCATTGTGACTGAATGCTATATTTAGAAACCACAACACTCTTGTTAGCTTAGGGCAATGCCTAAAGGCTCAGTCTTGCTCTTAGCATTCATGCTCTCTCACATATTCAACTTCAAGGGGTAAAAATTCACTGTAAAAGTTATTGCTGCATGTGAGAAGTGATCACAGCATGGGTGAAAGGGAAGAAGTCACCTTGATTGAAAATGGAGTGCATTCACAAGGGGAACTAGCAGGAAATTAGAAGTAGAGTTCAGCAGCAGAATTCAAAGAGAAGGTCCCACTTATTTTTTCCTTGAAGTAGACTAGGTGTTGTCAAACTTTTCACACCATGAAACCTGTTAGTTAAAAATAAAAGGGAAAAAAAAATCCGGAAAACCTTATCAAGAGGCAAAGCTCTAGGGATAGAAAACTGGCTGCATGGAACGCAGTTTGAAAACTTCTGAAGCAGAGCCAGCTTTAAGCTAAGTTTGGATAGGCACCAGCCTAGGGCACCAAAACCTAGGGGTTACCAGTGCCACGTCTCCTTCCACATCACGCTAATAATGCCGATCTTCATATTGGCAGGAGATAGCACCATCAGTCAGCGTGGCCCAGGGGCACCGTATAGCCTTGAGCCAGCGCTGCCCTGAAGCTGAAGTTGCAAGGAACAAAAGAAAAAATTGAAGTGAACCTGAACTCATAGGCTGCAATGCTTGTGGCACGTTTGTGTATATGACTGAAAACTACAAGCAAAAAAAGTAAACTTACCCTAAGCCTTAAGGAAAAAGTATGGTAAGAATACTAGTATAATATGGATCAATATGATCAATATGGATGAGTATGGGCCAGGCACTTTAAACCTACAATATATCTCTATAAAAAGCTCAAGAATATTGTTAAAGTGGACATTTCTAGGATATTCCAAACATGGACTAAAGAACTGGAATCTCTGATAATCCCCCATCAATGGATTCATGTCCTTAGAAATGTTAAAATGGTATCTACTGGTCTGAGTTTAAAGTTGATTCATTTTAAAAAAAATGTATTTAAAGTATACTGGATTCCCCAAAGAATGCATTTGAAAGGATAGATATCAGATTTTCTATGCTGGAAGAACTTCCAACTGATCCATGCTGATATGTCAAAATCTGAACCAGAATTAGTATTAACACTATCATTTGATATATAATCTGGTGGGAATTTTAGGATGTACACAGAATTTAAACAGAAGGGGTTTTTAAAATAAGAAATATTTTAAAGAATTATATTTAAAGAAATATAATTAAAACATACATTTTAAAATGAATAAATCTAATGAAAAAAGAAAACCATAGAAATAAAAAATAAATAGCACCACCTGGCATCAACTGAAATCCTCTTCAGTGAGCAAGTCAGCTTAAGTAGCAAATGTCCTGTCTAGTTAAAAATATATTTGCATGCCAATGAAAGACTATCAAGGAAGAGGGTAACCTAGGGTGTTTCTAAGCTTCAAAACAGCTACTAAGAAGGCTCCTCTTGTGTTCTCATTAAACATTACTTCGATTGTCGCAAGAGATTCCTTTCACTTTAACAGTGAAGATACTAAAAAGAATAGAATCCCATGTTTCTGAAACCAGCTCAAGAGCCAGTGTGATGTAATGGTTAAGGCATCAGGCTAGAAACTGGAAGACCAAGAGTTTTCATTCCATCTTAGGCAGGAAGCCAGCTGGGTGACCTTGGATCAGTCACTTTCTTTCTCAGCCCTAGGAAGTAGGCAAGGGCAAACCACTTCTGAAAAACATTGCCAAGAAAGTGCAGGGCAGTCTCCGGGGAGTCAAAAACGGACTCAAAGGCACCAAATACATACATACATACATACATACATACATACATACATACATACATACAAACATACATAAACCTAGTCCAACCGAAAGGCTGCCCAAAGCCTTCTAGACCTCCTTAACTTTCTAGCGATAGCCCCACAGAGGTCTTTTCTTCACAGCAGCCTTCAGCTGCTTGTCTCCCCTGCATAAATGCCTAAGAAATTCCTCCTGGATTTCAACCCTTCTTTAGATTTAGCCATAGGGATAGCTTGAAATTCTTTTCAGACCAGATCTACCATGGCCCTAGATTTGTGGATTCCCCCTGCTTCTTTACATTTCCTGGATTGTTTAAGAAAAAAGAAAATGCTCCAGTTTTACCATTGTCACTGTCATCTTGTCACTCGGGCTAGAAGGGGAAAGTGGCAGCATTCATTGTTGCACTGTTTCATCAGTGAGCTTGTTAAATTAAAAAATCTAGTTTTCATCATTCCACTGGTGACCTTGCTTAAAAAAATGGTAGGGGAAGGCAATAACTAGTGCCTGGAGTGGGAGGGGAGTGGGCATTCCCACTGCAGGCCTCGGAGAACAATTTCTTACAACAAATTGAAGCTCAGCATACAAACTGGACAGTGCAGCCAGGGTAAGACAGAAAATACTACTTTTGATGCAATGCTGGAAAACCTGGGATCAGGCTGTGCTGAGGTACGCTGAGGATAATGATGTGCATGCACCTCTGCCCTCCAGAAAGAGAGGGTGGCTCATGATTGAGCTGGGGTAAACTGGAAGAACGTAACTCATGCACATATCACCATTGGTCAGGTGTGAGATCTCTAGAAATGGGTGTGCTTAGGAAACAAGCCTTAGCGTGAAAATGCCTTCTCTGCCCAGTCCAAGGCCTGGACATTCTGTTTCAGGGCTGAGTCCAGGAGGATCTCACAACTGGAAACACTGCAAATGTTTGTTTTCAAAGTTGAATCTTATTTCCTGATCTGGCTTTGTATTAACCAGGAACACCTTCCTACTGCCTGGATTGAGGTTTACAGTTTGTCTTTATTCCATTCATTGCCAACCTCAAAGATTTAGGACTTGAGCCACTGGCTTTGATTTAGATATACAGGCAGTCCCCAGGTTAAGAACATCTGACTAATGGACAACTCGTACTTATGAACGGGCTGCCTATTACTAAACATGGCAGATGACATTCTTCCTTGAACTGGCAAACCGCTGAAGCCATGCAATGTTTTCATGAACTGCTGAAGCCACACACATTTAAAATACAGCCTATTTTCAGCAGTTTTCAGTGGTTCATGACAACATTGCACAGCTTCAGCGGTTCATCAGCTCGAGGAAGGAGAATGGTGTCTGCCATTTTTAGTAATAGGCAGCCCGTTCATAAGTATGAGTTCTGACTTACATTCAAATTCAGCTTAAAGACAGATTTAGGAATGGATCTTGTCCTTAACCCGGGAATTGCCTGTACTTCTGACATAATATCCAAAGGGGAAAGGCTGGGAATCTTTTCCAGCCTAGAAAAAAATTGTCCTTTAAGATGAGAGATTGTAATCATTAAAATCAATCCCTCTGAAAATGGGAAAGAGCCCTTGGTGTAGTCAATGAATCAAAGCAGTTTGGAGCTTACCAGTATGGAGGCTTAGGTCTGCTTCAGCAGCCCAGAGATTTTGCTGCTTGCGGTAGGAAATAGTGAAGCACCCCTGACATTCCCACTGAGCCAGATGATCTGGGAATGCTCCAGTTCTACTTCTGGTTTTGACAATGGCTATGGGAAATGTGCAAGATTACAACACGGGCTGCCATCTTTGGGGAAATGGAGTTTTCCTTCCCAAGTTAGCCTTTTTAATGCGATTTAACCAAAGTTAGGTTATTTGCCAGTGGTACCTTGTGGAGTGGGGGGGAGGGGTTGTCCAAAAAGGGAGGATGGGAGTTGTGCCAGTGCAGGTGAAGCCCCATCCTTTTGGCATGTATGTGCAAAATGGGCAAGCAGTTGATTGCTGCAACTGCTATCTTGCCTTTTTCCCATGCCCTCTCCTGTGGCCATTGCAGCTTTCTGGGAATCCTTTCCTGTCTCCGTAACCTACAGTCCCAGTTGAAATCTTTTCTAATTTGAGCGTTCCAGCTTCTTCCAAGGTATTGGCCAACCACAAAGCTCCTTGAATTATCATGAGCTAACCAATCGTTTTAACAACACTGGTCTATCCACTAAACACCATTATACACAAATCATCCAGAGATGTATATTCTTTACGACTTGCTAAATGTTAATGTGTGAGTTCAGAAATGTTAAAGCAGTAAATAGATTTCATTTGAGCTTTTCCTTCTCATTTCTTTTTTTAGCCCTTAGTATTTAAGGTACGAATCGTAAAGATTCAAGAAGAGAAAAAGAGATCTCTATTATCAAAAGATAATTTATTGTGAAGGGTGAAAAGAATTATTATAAGTAAATCATGGGGACAGATTGCTGTCACTGGATAATGTTCCATGCCTTGTAGTGAGTAGTAAAATATTTATTACGTATAAATGTTATGAAATGTGAATGGAAATGCAACTCCACTCTCATGGATTATATTAGTTTTGTAACAGCTACACTGAAGTGTTAGCAAGGCATGTCCTGAAGAATCTTTTTTGTTGAAGTAGCTGAGAAAGAGCTTTCATAATCTGTGCCTAAAAATTCAGAGACCTTCCTAAGAAAACACTTTCAGTCAAAACAATTAACTGAATTACATTACATCCTCAAAATAATGATGCCATTCCCCTGTATTATGGAACTAAATATATAATATAAACAGTGCATTAACCCTGATTTATTTTTGCTCTGCTTTTTTAATAAAAAACCTGAGATCATCAGGGAAACAGAAATATGATGCTATTTCTTCTCTAACCCATGTCCAAGCGCCCTCTCTTAAACCATGCTGCCTGTTAGATCTTAAGAGGAGGCACTAGCATATTCATCTGCATAATCTGAATATCAATTTGTGTAACCTTTTGGTCACTTAGGCCCAACAACCTCACCCTATAACTTTGGTTCACTTTTGCTGTTACTTGCTTTTCATCATGTATAAACCCCTTTATTTCACATGTATAGCAAATAATACAAGATATTATTGGAAACCAGAGGTGCTGACTATCTGATGCTGTTTCTATTGATTCCCACACTGCCACTGCTCACTCTGTTCCAAGTAGTCATGCTGGCACAGTGCATGAGGAAAACAGAAGTTGTTTTCAGTGCTGTGGTTAGCTTTGCTAGCTGCTGCTGTGTGACTCAACCCTTCTTTGCCCTGCTGTTGCCAGCTGGCCAGGATAGGATCCTGGAAACGAGGTCATTTTCCTGGCTTTGTGGAGTATGTCCAGCACCCAAGACAATCCTCCTTCCCCCAAAACAATTAAGACTATCCCAGCAAAATGGAGTTACACAAATAGGAGTTGAGCTGGAAGCATAATTGGGCTGCCACATACCCAGAAAAAATAGATGATTGGTTTGATTTTGATGTGCCCACTTTGGGGACTTCAAAATCCCAGATTAACATGGACCTTTCCAGGGACATGGAAGGCCTGCTAAACTGTGTATGAATGCCAGGGAAATGTGATGGCCTGAGCTGGCCAGATCTGAAGTCAAGGGGCTGAAATCAGAGTGGTCCGCATGTTCAGGTGTCAGTCATCTTCCACTGAAAGTCAAGCAGCTCTCAGTCTGTTCTGACATAAGTGTGTGTGAGAGAGAGAGAGAGAGAGAGAGCGCACGCAGTAAGTTGTGAGCCGTGGGACTCCTATATATATGCTTTGAGATTGTGGTGTGGGATGACCTGGAATCCTTTGATGGGTTTTTATTCCCTTTTTCTATCTTGGCATTCCAGAAAATTCAGCAAGAACCTTGATCAAATGCTTGTCTAAATGAAGGCAAGTAAAAAGGATTTTGCAAAACTTACACTGGAGTCTTCCTATTTGAGAGGGGATTTTACCTTTTGAACTCAGCTG